CTTAATGCTATTACCCCAACGTTGTTAAATTCAAACAAGTTAATAATGGTAAACCCATAAAAGGCAATATAATTGACTCGACATCTCATCTCGTACACAGAACATTGACGGAATCCCAGCTGACCTAAAACGACTCTACAAGACAGTTTGGGAAATCTCGCAGAAAAGATTGATTGATATGGCAGCCGACAGAGGAGCTTACATTGATCAAAGTCAGTCGTTCAACGTTCACATGGGAGATATTAATTATGGCAAATTGACCAGCATGCACTTCTATGGCTGGAAGAAAGTAAGTGCAGTACTTATTATATTGTGTATCTAATGTTGTTTATCGATATACACACAAACTTTGTTTTGGCTTGACGTTTGGAACTGGATTTTCCAATGCAGTACAGCACAATGGATGCAATATTGTACTATTGCATAGTACTATGCAATAGTACAATATTCGTTTACTTTCCTATAGTATTGCACGATGTAATCACTTGAACAAAGAGACAGGGGTGATAAAAAATAAACGAGTACATTTAACATGAAAAAATGTTTAAAAACAACCGAAGGAAATTCGTTTGAATGAAGATTTGGTATTGAAAATTTGAAGGAAACCGTAACACCCATATCCCTCTGAGGGCGCACACAACATATGGTTGACAGACATCCCTTGAATACATGCAGATTTAGCACAGAAATACTCCGTTGGTCTGCAGGTGGAACCAGAAAGCGTAAACCTGTTGACCCTTATCTGAAATATTGAAAGTCGTTTCGCTGTGTGGGTGTCACTGTCACATAAGCACTATCGTAAATAGTAAATTCGGCAACCGGCAGCTATTTTTCCCGTGAGAAATTATACTTTTCCCCCCTTATATGTAGTAGTCTTGTGTTTATGACCCGTAAACGAAATTTAGGAATGTAGTGTTATAATCTCCACGTTAATTGTAGGTAATAATATTTTTAATAATTTTGTCTCCCAGGGTTTAAAGACAGGCATGTACTACCTTCGCTCACGACCAGCGGCTCAGGCTATTCAGTTCACAGTTGATCAGGAAGCTTTAAAGAAGACGCCCGAAGAGCAAACGAAAGAAAACGAGGAAGCAATCGCATGTTCATTGCAAAACAAGGAGGCATGCATGATGTGCAGTGGTTAAGTCACACCAATGATCTGCAACCATGAACTCATTAGACCACAACCATGAACTCATTTTGAGTCTTATTTACGTGCTGTTTTATAGTACGTACTAGTACTACTCGTGCACCAAGTATTGTGTTTCGCAACGGGTGTACAGAGGGTTAGAACATGTATAATGTAGTATATATACTGTATTTAATAAATTTTGAATGAAACAATTGTTGGTTGCCTGCCTATAGCTGAGGTAGGATTACTAATTGTTAAGGGCGGGTTTCCTGTAATTTTTTTTTATTAATAAAAACAACATAGATTTCATTTTTGTATGATTTCTTTGATGTTTGTTTGTATTCCGTTGAGGAACTGTACGTGGACTCCCCCGCCTTATTTCCACTGCGTTTGTTTGCACACGCAATAGACAACTTGCATGTTAGACAAATTTTTGAGTAAATTCCCGTTAAGAACTTATTAAAATTAGTAAAAGTGCAAAATTTGAGCCGAAAATGGTAACAATTTCCGCTCGTAATACAAATATACTGAAAATATGCAAACTTTACAAAGCTATATTTTCCAAACTTTACAACATTTCGCAACCAAATTTTGCACTTTTACTAATTCTAGTATATTCTTTTCAGCTGTGGTGTTTGATTCCCTTTTCTCTGCTTAGATTAAAATTTAGTCTAACATGCAAGTTGTCCATTGATGCGCTGCAAAATGTTTGGTTGATAATGTACAGGTTGGAAGAAAACGAAAATACATTTCCCAATTTTGAGCACAAAATGTTTTCGGAGCTTTCGAACACATGAAGATTGCCAAGCGTGGATGATCTAATCATGCCCTAGAACCGGTTCAAAAGCCGGTTAGTTAGCTTCACTCCAGACTAACTATAGGCAGCCCATCCTCGTCCAATTTCAACGAGTAACCGAGGGAAAATGGCTCTGGGGACGAGAATGTAGGCAGCCCAAGAATGCATGGTATTTGTCTCTTACGTATAGTCACCCAACCTCGTCCCCAGGGTCTTCGTGATCGCCTGGGGACGCAGACTAGTCCCAAGTCCTCTATGCACGCTTTTGAGGAGCCCGTCACCTCATTAATATGCAGAAACGCGCAATAGGCGTACTAAGAGGCCTAGGGACCAGGCTGCTGGGGACGAGGTTGACAGTTACCTACCTTGGAAAAGTTTTGAAAGCTCGTGCGTGAAAATCATTCATGTTTGCGTGGCGCTCGAGTTTGTCGGTTAACCGAGTCAAATCTGAGCCCGAGTCACTGTTTAGTGGTCCCTGTAGTATTCGACTGAATTTTATTCGATTTCGGAGTTTGTCGGTTAACCGAGTCAAATGTCCGAGTCGCTGTTTAGCTGCCTTTGTCGGTTCAATGACTTAGTGCCCTAACCCTACTCCTAACCCTATTCGACTGAATTTTATTCAATTTCGTCTTTTTACGTGACTTGGGCTGGGATTTGACTGGTAAATGGATTTACTCCGTGGCGCTCAACCTAAAATTCAAAGCAAACATCCCAACACTGCAACAGCTTGTTTTTTAGAAAATATTTCTTCAGAAATCTTGTGTAGATCAATGGGAGTTTTCTTTTCTGGGGTTTTGTAATAAACCAACGTGCGGAGATACACAAACTAAAACGGCGAGTTAACTTTTATTTTTAATCCAAGGTAGCGCTAATCCAGTTTTGAACAACCGGGGGCGCTCTTACATATGGCAGTTGTTCGCTACTTGAACAACACTTTCCAGCAGTTACAGAGTGAACAAATGTCAAGATTCTTGGACTCTATTGCACTAATGCTCCAACCCTAATTAATATGACCATAAGAAGAATGACTTGTGCACCTATCATGTCTTCCCCCATGCAACAGCACAATAGCCAAGGGCTATAGACATTTGGAAAAATTGTTATAGTCAATAATTCGCAATCAAGGGTATGGAACTGTCAATTCATGTTGAATGTGCCTGGGTTTTTAGCCTTTATAAAATGTTTTTGGATTAACATTCGACCACAGCAGATTGGTGACTATAAATTTAGTGAGAAATTACAAATTTAATTTGAAAAACTGCAACTAACTCAGGGTAGAATGTATTAGCATATATATCTAGGTGAAAAATATAAAAAATCCTTACCCTCGGACCTTCATGTCAAAAATAATACAAAATTCCCCCACAAGGGTATGAAGCCATGAATCTTTTGTCAATTGTGCGTGTATGCCCGCACTGAAGATATTGATAGGCGCATTAACCACACATTTAATTAAGCATGTTTTAAAAGTCAATTGTTGAAGGGATTTGTAGATGCAAATATCAAGTGCCGGAGCAGTTGCGAAAAATGGTAGTGATGGGCGATACCGAGTACTCGGTATTCAATACCAGCGATACCACAAACAGCGGTATCGATTACTGACGTGGTATCGTTCGATACTTGCACCTTTTTTAAAGGACTTGTTTTATTTCACCTCTTGGTTGAATAAGACTTAATAAACCACTAAAGCAACTCTTATAATATTCCAAATGTGGTGCGCCAAGTCATGTATAGAAAATATTTATTACGTTTTAGGCTTTTGGTTTACTTATAGCTTTAGTTAGGTTACATACAGTAATGTAAAATGTTTTTCCGCTAACCAGCAGGTATCTAAAGTAGCCGATACTAGCATTTTAAGTACTCACTTCCGGTATCGAAAATTGAAATTTTGTGTTTATCTTGGTATCGAAATAGGTATCGGTATCGACCGATACCGTTCTTAAAAGTATCGGTATCGAATTAAAAATCCTGGTATCACCCACCACTAAAAAATGGAACTATCGGCCCTTTTGGTAGGAATCGAACGCCCTGGGATTCCAGTGTAGCACTTTAACCAACGGTCCAACTGAGAGGTACTACTTCGTGTAAAAAGGAACACATAATAGTTTGAGGTAATTAAAACTAGGTTAAAACTTAAAACAGATGATGTTAAAACTAGTGTCAGGGTTTTGGCTAACTTTTATGATCACACAGTGACACACCTTATAATTAGCTCAAACTGTTTGTGGGTCTTACAAGTACTTACCCAACTGAGCTACCGAGTCCAGTTTTATTTATTTATTTATTTATTTATTTATAAACTTTACAATCAACAAAACGATTGAAGGTACAGACAACAGGACTGAGGAGTCCCAAATCAAGTCCTACCTACACATTACACTGACATTGTAAAACAATAGAGACAGGTTACAACTTTAACAAAGCTACAATACAAAATTACAACACACGATCAATGCGTTCCAACCCATCTTTACACTTTCCAAAGTTAATATGGTTTGGAAAATGATCAAGTTAGAAAAAAAAAATTATACATATAGATGAGCCAATCATGAGTTGCCAATCGCAGGGCCGTAGGTTTGATTCCTGCCAGAGGCCGATTTCGCAACTGCTCCTGGTTAGGTCTAATGAATGTATAAAACTGATTTCATTCGAAATTTCCATCTACAAATCCCTTCAACAATTAGTTATGTCAAGTGAGATGCCCAAAATCCTGATTTTAAAATATCAACATTCATTCAGAAGGTAATTCAAGAGCAAATAACGAGACATCACGCTATCCAAACACATGTGGATTTTATTATATACACTGAAGTCTTAGCTATAGCCAGACCTAATACAATAATTTCAGTTTTGGCATTCACCGTCCGTGTTTTAGTGGGAGAATTCAATGAACTTCTGAAACACCCAGTGCATGTTGCTTGCTTCTTTTTTTTATGAGTACGTAGTTATGTTAACTTAGTAGTTATGTAGTAGGGAGGCTGAAAACTAACAACATAATACCACAACGAACTGACAAGTACGTTCTGCCAAGTGCGAACTGACAAGTACGTCCAATATATTAAATGTATAGGTTCAGTTCTCCATAAGAGGACGATCTTCGTCAACAAAAATAAATGTCTTCAAGAATGAAAAAAAAGTTGCAGCACCGTGTGCTAAAATAAAAGCTAAACGTAGAAGAAGTGAAACAACAAAACAAGAAAGAAGAATGGCAAAAATAAATGGAACGAGAGCAAGCAAAACCACTTCAATCCATTCGAGTATCTTTATGTACATCAAGTTTGGACCAACAGGAGTCACTCCTGCTGACCATAACACCGCTTTACACAGGTTTATACTTGAAATGACGACCAATGCAAGAAGTGAAATGGCTTCTAAGTGATTGGCTTTGGTGTCTTTAAATGGGAACACAAGAAGATGATGATAAAGGACAGCTACACAAGTCAGAGTCAACAAAAACAATCGAAACAGTGGATCGACAACAAGAGCATGGATGGAAAGTAGAATGAGACGTCTTCCAACAAGCACACTTTCCCAATACAAGGTACCTTTAATCTCATCTGTAGGTGATCGAAAAGGACCATAGAGAACGTCTGTAAACCGCGAGCACTCTTCCCTTTCCTCTTCTTCGATTACTGTCATCGCTGACTGATTCGAACATTGACGTTTGATAAATTTATACGTTCTGCACATGATATAAGGAACTGGCAGTACTAGGGCTAGGAGAATTTCCTTAGGAGAAATTTTTTGCTCATAATACTTTTTAGATCCCAAGTATAAGATTGCAGTGAAAGGAACCATGAAGAACGCAACAGCCATCCCAAGAATCACTTGCCACCACTGCCAACAGGGCGTGTTTCCTTCAATAAATAATACCGATTCACTACCAATGGTAACACATGTTAACAACTTCAAGGTAGCCTTAGCAATATTTGCGTATCCGAGCAGCAGCAGTTCCAAAACAGCGGCAAGGAAAGGTATCTCTTCAATGCAAGTTCCCTTTACTTTGCAAAATATCGTGTGGGCAATAAAAATTATGAATATACAAAGAAGTATTGTTAGAACACCGATATTTGCAAATATAACTTTTGTTATTGGTGTCATGCCAATGAACGGACATCCTATAGTTTTTGATGACCCAAGAATGATATGGAAACTAAATGCGGAGATGATCATGGATAAAATTTTTGTCTTCTCTATTAATTCCATGTATGTTTCTAGGAGTAAAATTCCAGCAATTTGATAAAAGTAGAAAATGATTTTGGTATATCCCGCGTCAGTCAAAATCTCGTGATCATCTCGTTTTTTAAACCACATAATTTGTTTGTAAATGAAGCGAGAAATATTTGGCTGAAGAAGGAAATACAAGGCTACCAAAAAACTGAATAACAGAAGTAAACTCCAAAACAACACACTGTCGCATTCTGTTTGATCAATACACGATGTGGACATCAATTCTTCAGTAAATCCCTGCTTGCATTTTCCACATAGTTTACCTTCCCTGTTTCCGTAGCAACCATTGTAGACTGCGGTATCAAGAGTATTTGGCGTTATACAATAACCAGCCGGGCATGTAACAAACTGTAACTGCGGTGGACTATAAGAAATCTCATGTCCCCAAAAATTTGTCTTGGCTACAACATTATGGTTGCAGTTGGCACCATAAGGGCATGGAAAACAGTAAAATCCTTCTGTTGTCTTTGACATATTTGTGCTGTAACCTTTCTGTAAACTGTATGTTCCACCTGGGCATGCTTGACATGATAGAGTAACAACCGTGACGCTAATCGTACATGACTGTTTTTGATATTCTGTGGCTACAAAGTGGGAGAAATCTTCCCTCACAAGTTTACTACCAGTTGGACAGAGAAACAAGCTTTGATTCGCCATGTTGAAGTCTCCTCCCTTTGAGATGATAATTGCGAGACTTCTCTGTTTACTAACTTCAGATTTAAACTCAGTTCCTGTAATAAAAAGTGGGCCTGCGCTGTATGAGAAAATGAACGTCGATTGTTGATAGTTGTTTTCGTCCTCAATATTTCGAGAATAGAAATCATATCCTGCACGTGTTTCCAGAAAGGTTGAGTTTATCAGCTCTAATTTTCCACTGTTTTCACCAATGTGAACTTGTCCACTCCTAGTCACTGCAATGTTATCTTTAAATAAACAATTGATGCATTTTGTGTCACCATTGGAAGAATACAAGGCTCCTGTAACACCAATATTATTTTCGAAACTGGTATTTAAAATCACGACTTTGTTTTTATAGTGCCACTTTCTGTGAATGTCTAGTTTATTGTCTTCCACGCATCCGGGAAAAGTCAAATTATCTGCAGGCATGGCAACAAGCAACGCGCCTGCCTTTTTATTAAAGACTGAAGAGGTTTCAAGATTTTGATTTTTAATAAACCTGGATTGAATGACCTTAACAGTATTTCCCTCTCTTGCAAAAAAATTACTCAAATCGACAGATACTGCTGCATCATCAAAAACTGTTATAAAACGATTCTTCTCAACAAGCACGTTTTCAAACAGAATGAACGATGATATAGCAGAATTGATTTCAATTAGAGTCTTGACCAATATATTTATCGCTTGGCCACCAACGATGTTGTTTGAAAATCCCGAGAAATTGGAGTCTTTTATCGTCACATTGACAATTTCAGCTTCTTGTAAAAATAAACTAATTCCACCTGTGCTATTTTTGAAAACACAGCGAACGACGTGGACTTGGGCAGTTGATCGCATAGTATTGGATATGATGGATAAGGCAGTATTCGATGCTCTTGTAAAATTAACCCGAGTTAGATTAACAGATATTGTGTCGATGGTCCAAATTGCAAAATAACTATTTAAAAATTTCGAATCGTAAACCTCAAGTGACCCGGCGTTGTTTTGCGAGGCGTATATGTATACCGTACGCCTAAAAGCAGTGGGATCCAATTGGAGATCGTCAAAATGCGAATGTCCTATACTCATATTTCCAGTGGTTATCATTATAGAAAGTGCGCTCCCAAAGAAACTGGTACTAGTACTACATGCCTTCCATACTGTATAGAGCAAGTTTAAACACACATTTTCGACATTTATTGAAATTCCTCCACCACTGCCGTCAGCCGCCATACATTCAATAAATGTGACGTTTTCTAGCATTAGGTTCGCATTGTTTCCGTTTATTGATATCGCACCGCCAGAATCATTTGCTTTACATCGATTGAAAGACACATTCCGAGCACTGAAATTTATTTCTTTGTTTTCATTACTGATGTAAGTAACACCACCCTTGTAACTTCGACAGTCAGAAAACTCCGTGTCTGTAATATTCACAAATAACCTGTGACTTTTACCAAGAAAAAGAACTCCTCCATTACCATTAATCTTATGTGCTACAAACCAACTGTTACGTATAGTCAGCGTAATATGTTTTGCATCAATGGATAAACAACGATATCCATGGTTAGAAGCGAACAACACATCTACAAAAAATAGATTTACTTTGTCCGCTGTTATTGCAAGTAAACTACTTTGTGCACCATCCGAAGATCTTTGCCAATTAACGCTTTTCATAACACGAATATTCGAGTAGTAGCCTTCAAATTTTCCTTTAGAATTGTTAAAAAAGAACAAAGGACCTTTGTTTCCCGAGAAAGTCAGGTTGGTAAAACTGCTTACAATTTTATCATTGTCCAGATTATTTGATACAGGTATGCGTGTGTCATTTATGGAAATAATGCAGCCATTGGCATTGGAAATATCACTTCGTAAGCAATTTGAAATAAAAACCGTCTCTTTAATGATTAAAACCATTTTGAATCCAAACCTTGATTCCGAGTATTTGGAGCTATAAATTTTAACACATTGTTTATTGTTTGTAAAAGTGGCGTTCTCTATAAAAAGGGTTCGTAACCGTTGATCTGGGAAGAATTCTACTGAAGGGTCTTCGCCATCGCTAATAAAACAATTTAATAGTTTCACGGAAGAAGACCTAAACCTTAACCTAGTTGATTGAAAGCCAAGTTTTGAGAATTCTACCTGCAGCTCTGTGTTGTTTTCTCCCATGAAATAAAATCCAGCATGGCAAGCCAAATACGCCGTCAGTGGATAGCCAATAAATGATAAAGATTTGCTGACGTGTATCCATGGTGATAAAACAGTGTGACAGTCGTACGGACTACTTTCTGTGCTGGTGCTGTCAATGTAAATATGGTCATTCCATTGGCTAATATGAATAGCTTCTGGGATTGAATAACATGGTTGTTGTATTGACCCGCACGAAACTGTGTCCTTGCCTCTTGCTCTGGATACATATATAGAATGTCCGTTATCAGAACCTTAAAATCGTATTGAAAACAATTAACATTTTTACTTTGTCTTTACTTTTTCGTCGTTGTTGCTGTGGTTGTAGTCTAATCAAGGTGAAAAGTCGAATTAAGAACTCTTTGTGTCGTGTTTAAGGTGGGTCGATACAGTTTTCAAAAACGTCAGGTGTCTTGTTAACAGTTTAACAGTTTTAAACGTCGTATTTTTAGGTTTTATGCAGTAGATATCAGGATGTTCATCTATTTTTAGTTCTACATTACTGGAATGCTACCTCCAACTGGAAATTTGAAGCCAAACTTGAAGGCCAGTCCTAGTCTTTTGATGCATGCGCAGAGCGCTCAATCTGCAGTCAATCATGCCGATAAACACGCGGGTCTTGACCCCCAAAAATGGGCATAGTACAAAACATGGACTGTACAGTTTGACTGGACAGTTTGACTGGACAGTTGGACTGGACAGTTGGACTGGACAGTTGGACTGGACAGTTGGACTGGACAGTTGGACTGGACAGTTGGACTGGACAGTTGGACTGGACAGTGTGGACTGGACAGTTGGACTGGACAGTTGGACTGGACAGTTGGACTGGACAGTTGGACTGGACAGTTGGACTGGACAGTTGGACTGGACAGTTGGACTGGACAGTTGGACTGGACAGTTGGACTGGACAGTTGGACTGGACTGGACAGTTGGACTGGACTGATTTTTACATTTTCTCAATTCTCAAGGGCAAAGGACTAAAAGTGCCCTTTAGTCTGTGATAAAAATTGTCCTTTTTTACAAGCTAATGTCGCTGTAAATACTAAATTAACATCAAAGATTCCATTTTTGTTTGGAAATTTCGATATTTAAAAAAAAAATTAGGTCAAAAACGTGCAATTTCGGTATAGTATGACGGGAAAATCTCCCCCCCCCTCCTTGCCAACATTTCCGGGAAAAATTTTTTAGGTGCCTTTTCAATATCCAAAAGTGCCCCTGGAAGCCGGTGCCCCCCCCCCAATCTTTTGATACTTCCTACGCCACTGTCTATTCTTGACTTGCACGTCAGCCATGTCAGGTGGCATGGCACAAAAGAATACTGTATCACAGAATAGATATACCATGCCATGTCTATTTTGTGATTTTATCAATGAACATTGTCTGGTGTGTACCAGGAGATTGGTTGCAAGTCAAGAATATAACGTTTTGCACCTGAGTTACTTTTGATTTTCGGAAATTGAAATACTTTACCTTCGCCGATGACCTAACTTTATAACTGGAGTGAAATCTCTTAAAGCGAAAGAAAGCCTAGTAAGTAGAATAGAATACAATACCAAACAAAAACTACTTATCTATCGTTGCTATGGGCAGCCTGCTCGCATACAGATATTTCAGTCTGCATAGCCATAGGCGTAGGAAGATTGATAATTGGGGAGCTCATATCCATATATTGGTGTTCTGCATTATTCGCTTATTATTCTTTTGAAATTAATTGTTTTTACGGTCTGTGAACACGAGTATATGAATATGAGCTCCCCAATTATCGATATTCCTACGCCTATAGCTATGCAGACTGAAATATCGAAATTAAATACGCATGCGAGCAGGCTACCCATAGCAACGACAGATAAGTAGTTTTTGTTTGGTAATAGGGAGCTTAAGCATGTAGGACGGCAACACGACGACGACGGCATTAACCAATACAATGAGTCAATGAAAAGAAATAAATCATTAAAGTCCCAGGGGAGTTTCAGACGTGGTCGTCGTTCTGTTTACAACGACAAATCACAGATTTTCACGTCTTTTATACAACGCCTGCATTTCAAGCCGTAGCAAGACAGTGCAACTTAAAATTCGGTCAGTAGAACTATCCCAAACATAAAGCCAATGTTTTCAGCTTCTTATACTGTATTAAATTCATACGAATTATAATATACGACAAGTTTTCTTTACTATAATTTATTTGAAGGAATTTGTTTTGGCCGTCGTCGTCGTGTTGCCGTCCTACATGCTTACGCTCGCTATTGTATTCTATTCTACTTACTAAGCTTTCTTTCACTTTAAGGATTTCACTCCAGTTATAAAGTGAGTTCATCGGCGAAGGTGAAGTATTTCAATTTCCGAAAATCAAAACTAATTCAGGTGCATGCAAAACGTTATATTCTTGACTTGCAACCAATCTCCTGGTACACACCAGACAATGTTCATTGATAAAATCACAAAATAGACATGACATGGTATATCTATTCTGTGATAAAATATTCTTTTGTGCCATGCCACCTGACAATCTGACATGGCTGACGTGCAAGTCAAGAATAGAGAAAATGTAAAAATCAGTCCAGTCCAGCCCAGTCCAACTGGACAGTCAAGTCCGCGGGTCTGTTCATATATAAAACACAACGTTCTGTTTTCGCGATTCTTGTAAACGGGTTTTGTGTATTAATATATCGAGCCATCTTAATAATTTTTTTTGTTTTGTAGAACCATGGATCATACTACCCTGGTTGCCAGAGGCTCTTTCAATTGAACATTTTTGTGCAAAGTTTAGCCGAGCAGAAGGGCGCCCTCAAAATTTCTGAACACACCCTTATAATAATGATCCCAAAATCAACATACACACATTCATTTTCATTCAAATTTTCTCAAATTTCAAAATGTCTTGATTAATACTGTCAAGTGACAAGACGAATTTTTAGTTCAGTTCTTCTGCTCATTGCATCATTTTCTTCTTACTTAACAATTTGTCACAGTAAATTTTATCATTGGACATTTTACATTTTATCACTGCACACTTTACTTTTATCACTGCACAAATTGGTTATCACTGCGCACACTAAAATTAGGTATGCCATGGATAATAAAATAAATTTATTTTATTATCCATGGGCATGGTAGAACCGACCTTGTCGTAGTGTAGTGTTGTTTTAGTCAAGTAGAACTAGAACTAAAACCCTATTTTAGTCGTGCGAAAATAATTTAGTCAACTATAAAACTAACTAGAACTAAAATCTAAATAAATTAAAGAGATAAATACTAAAACTAAACCAGAACTAAAGCGATTTAACGAAGATAAATACTAGAACTATACTAGAACTAAAGCAAAATCAGCAGCAAGTACTGGAACTAAACTTGAACTAAAAGCAAAATTACCATCAACGGCTAAAACTAAACGACAGAATTTAATTAGTTAACAGATTGTATTGAGTTTTTTATCTATTTTTTGAAATATAAGGGACTGGTCATTATTTATGGAAGGGGGGGAGGGGAATTTTTTCTTTTCTAAATTTTTAAAATTGAAAGCCCCCCTAAAAGAGCAGAAATTTAATGATTACCCCCCTGCATATTAGAATATTTTTCTTTGACCCCCCCCCCATTTTCATTTTTACTCGTCAAATAGGGATACCCAGGCGTTATAGTGTTAATTATTAAATAAGAATATGGAACTGGCAAGATATTAATGTCGACCAAAAATATATATTATAATATTAGCAGAAAATGATAATTAAAAGAGGAGTATTTTTATATAGAACACTGAAATCAGGTTTCCATTTGGTCTGGGCGATTGTAACCATGTTTAAGGCTGCAACTAGACTTGATGGTACGAAGTATTGCCATAGCAGCTGCGCAGCAACAATGAGAGTAACAATCAGTAATATTAGCAGCAAAAGGAGATAGCAATGACAATTCTGCCAAGGCATACCTACAAAATACAATGTATAGTGGTCTATACATCCTATTTTATGTGAGATTAAAAATTATATAAAATAAAATGACATGTACTACCAGATAAAATCCTTTAGAATGAACATGGTTGGGTGCGTGGGGAAAAGGTATCGAAGCGCTAAACTTGCTGCAGCTAGGCAAAGCATACAATGGCAGAATGAATACCCAGACCAAAGCGCTGATGAGCTGATCACAAGGCATCTAACAACCCCCTTTGATTGATATGACGTCACAGACTCCCCTCAGCGGATGTGGCCTGCATAATACATCCGCATCCTACATTGTTAACCTTACTTAATTTAAATGTATTTAACCACATCAAGAGCTGATGTAATATAAATAATACATTGTCAATTTAACTAGTCTGCAACCCATAAAGACTGATTTGCATACAGCACACACAAGACAAGATAAATCCAGACTATTTCACATCAGTGACCCACCTAGTCTCCTACGCAGCCTGTTCGCCGGTCCGAGGGGGAGAAAACCTCGGACCCACGAACAGGCTGCGTAGGAGACTACCTGTGACCATGATTTAGTTGCAACATTTACAACGAAATGGATACCAGGTTATTAATTTAAGCAAATTCCTTCAAATTTAAATACAACCCCCCCCCCCGTCATTTTCTTGAAAAAATTTAATAGCCCCC